TAGATACACATGTTATATTAATCTACATGTTAAAAATCCCAACATAATGTTTCCATAACTGAACTGTAACATTTTTTCATTATTATATAGACTGCAAAATTTAATACTTGAGCAATTCTTGTGGACTATTCCCAAGGCAAATTCACAACGCCGTTTTTGCAAGATCTGAATCGTTAGATCAACATAATGCACACACAAACATACATTAGTAGTAAGAAGAGAAAAATCAAACCTTGTAAACTTCAAAATATTCCAATAAAATCCGTCACTACGAACCCCAGCTCGAACTCGAAGATTGTCCGAAATTTAAGGAGAAAAAAAAAATTCCGAAGAAAGCTAAAAGAATACAATTAAAAGAGACAGGACAAGAAGACAGAGATAATGAATGAATGTCCAAAAAGGAGAAAGCTAATTGCATCGGGACTTGAACCTTCGACGACTAACAGTTAGTCACCTCACCAACAAAAAAAAAGATCACTTTTATTATCGTTTCTTGCTCTCAACCTCTCGGCTTATCAGATTCATCAAAAAAAAAAAAGATTTTTTTTTTTATTTTTTTGTTTCTATTTTTGGAAAGAGGAGAAAAGAATTCGAGCAAATTAGAAAGAGCCGGAGAGTGCGAGAGCGAGCAAGCTGAGGATGATGGAAGAACAAATGGGGGACTCTTTGTATATATAAAGGAGAAAATTAACTAGAAACATGAACAAGAACATAAGGAGAAAGATAATTTTCTAGAGAGAGAAAGGAAAGGGGCAAACCCTAATGATTAATTAGGCGCAAAAATGGCGGATGTTGGAGAGAGAGAGAGAGAAAGAAATAGGGGGGGNNNNGGGGCGGCGTGGGGGCGACCGCCACCTCCGCCACCACCCAGAGCTGATAGAGACACTTTTAGTTATGGGGAATGTTACGGACCCGTCACGAAATCATTCTATAGAAGTTTGTAATCGTTATGAATAGTTGATCTAACAGTTACAAATTTCGGAGGGATAGTTCCAAAACGGGGTCGTAACATCTCCATTTATCTATTTCACGATAATTAATAATCTTGTAATTTATTTATTTTTGAGGTGGAGAAAGGGTTTCTGCGTGCTTTACGTATTTCCTTTTTGACTGCTTCAAATATATATACAGTGAGTTAATTTATAAAATTTAAATATTTTAAATATATTATATATTTTAATAATTACCAAATGTCATAATTTCAATTATGATACTTATAATATATTATCTACTCATTTTTTCTTAAACTATATACTTAGCATTATATATAATTTTTTTAAGAGTATAGTTTATTAATGTGGACTTCATAATTTTTTATTTCACCTAACCATTAAAATAACAACTATATTATTATACTGTTTTAGTTCATCAATATTTATTACAAATATAAATGATATATATTCAATGAAAATTTATTATTATTTATGGTAAAACATATATTATAAAGTTTAACATGTATTTATCCTTTTTTACTAATATATTATACTATTTATTTAATTAATATGATTAAGTTTTTTTTTTTGGTTGTATTTAAAGTGTTTTGATGAAACTAATATCTACTACCATAAAATAATAATATAATTAATCAAATTATGTTTCAGAGTTATAATGAATAAATTAGTTTAATGAGGTAAACAAATTAGATAATTATTAACAACATTCACTCATGTGAAAATGCTTTTATATAAAATCCACATTCCCAGAACATAAAAAATTCCATTTGAATTCAACATAAAAAAAAATCCATCTCTTTTATTCTATCTCAACTCAACATTCATCTCTCCAGTTATTTTATCTCAATTTATCTCTCCGTCCATCTCTTTTTATCTCAGTTGTGCAATTAAAACTGAATTCATTCATTACTTTTTTTTTTTATTTATATTCATAGAGCAAAATATTATAATTGGCATTACTACTATAGTCATCGTTTTTTCCTTTATATAATATAAGTCTGTAACAAATAAAAAACCTAAATTCCTTTATATAATATAGGTATGTAACAAAAAAAATACTAGCTACCATTAATGTTTTATCGTAATACACAGCCTACTATTCACAAACATTCCAAAACAATTTCAATACTAAATAATGTTATAGAAGATTGATTTTATGCCTTCCTTTCCACGTTTGTTTTAGTTTAGAATGGACTATGTGCACTCAACTAAAAAAATAATCTATAATCTTATACTAATTTCGGGTGTAAGTATTGTCATCTTTTGTGTCTTTATATATATGTGATCGCTAATTTATATAAATGTTCTTTAAAATTTAATAAATTTTTTATCTTTTATTTTTCATATAAAATGTATCTAATTAATTATATAATTTTTTATTCGACATCCTTATTTATATATAAAATAATTGAATTTAATCTATTAATTGAAAAAAAAAACTATTATCTATTAAGCTAAATAGTATTTCAAAAAAGTGCTAGCAATTTTTTAAGGAATGTTTGATACTTTTAAATATTTTTTTATTAATTTTAGTTTTGTTTCAAATTATCCATACATAAATTTTAAAAATTATTATAAAAAGTAAATTGATCGTTAGTATTGATATCTTATATATGGTGAAAATTTATTATTGATAAATCACTGGCATAGTTAATTTAACTAACTTGATTGAAAATATTAAAGCACCATTATTTCAAATAACAATTCTATTCTATTCTTTAAAAAATAATTGAATATGCATGTAAGATAAAGAATTGTATATTTATTTATTTCTTTATATATATTTATGTTTATTTGCTATTATTATTATACTTTTTTTTAAAAAAAAATGGAGCTAAAGAAGGGATGTGCGAAAAAAAAAAAAAAATATTGACCGTCAATATAAACTACAAACTAGTCTCTAATTGAATTCTTAAAAAATAAAATAAATAAATAAATAAACTTTTTTTAGGACCCTTGCTAGACACTATAATGGGCCCAACATTAAACTATCCATCAGCCCTTATTCTTTGAGATTATATATATAATGGTTCAATAGAACAGTCCTGACATCCAAAAGAGAAAAGCCCATCTGTCCTTATGAGCCCAATGGGGCATGTGGGCCCCATCACTGCCCATCTTATTGAGTTTATTGTTCCCTTTATTAATGTCCCCACCATTTCTTGTTCTTTACTGATGTGCAGGTGGGGCCCACATGCGCACGGTGCATACTCGATCGATCATTTTTTTTTTTTCCTTTTTTTTTTAATTATTATATATTTCTCCTTTATTTATTAGGGAAAAATAAAAATAAAAATAATGGTGGGCAATTATTTTCAACAAAGACTTTTGGATGGTGAGGAAAAAGATTAGAAATGTTGTGGTGTTTGTTATGCTAAATCATTGTGATTAATTCTTGTCGTGTCTCATTAATTTGGGTGTGGTTGAGCTTTGTTAGATATCTCAATTATTACCACCATCATTTCACCCAATTTCTAGACTTAAAAGCCCTCATTCTTTTTGCTATAAGTATGCTTACTAGTGCAATACCCGTATACTACAACACGAGTGTTGAGTTAAAAAATAAATTATAAAAGTTGTTTATGTTTAACACCAAACCTAACTGAAGAGCAAAATAATATAAAAACAACATCAGGAAGTATAGATTTTCGCCATGTCAGCATTCAAAGCGTGAGAATCTGTCATCTAAGCTCCACACGTTTTGGATTAATACACAGGGAGGGATTGTAAGCATTAATGATGGATACAACATGAAAATACGAACACAACATGATATAATTGAAAAAATATAACTATAGAGATAAATAATATGATTGGCAAAACACGTTTCAAGATAGATAATATTAGAATATTCATTTGTAACTTGTCTCAAATCGTTTATATAAG